TATGCCTGTCATTTCCTGAAAAGTTACAATAAAATTTGCTCATAATGACTATTTCCTTGCACTTTCCTTTTTGTATGTTTTCTTAAGGGGCCAAAATGAAAAACAAAAAGCGACAGAAGAAGTTTTAATTCTTTGTACAAGTGAAAAAAGTAAATAAAACAAAAGTTGGTTACATTCTCATTTTACATTCGCCTCTGTTCGTTCCGTCGCACAACATTAGTTACTTGGGCAACATCCAAATTCTTTTTGACATTCCAGTAATTAAATAATATCCACATTTCAGATATTCTGCTGTTTCGTTTGTTGTTTTTTGAATGGCAGGTCGTTTGTTAGTGGCTTTCAAAAAATGACAGTTTTATTCACAGATACGGCAGAGGATTGGTCTAGATAAAAAAAAAAAAACACACACACACAGAGCTTACAAACAATAAAATACGTATTTTGCAGTTTGTGAAACTATTTCGGAGACAAACCCATTCTTAAATTCTTAACGTTTACTAAGAAGCAGCTTTGTGAGACCCGTCACCAAAGACTCATCGCCAAGAAAACTCATAGAATTGACGCATTTATTGGCAAATGTCTTATATTTAGAACTTCATAAATTGTGATCCGATAATAATAATGAGAACTTTCGAGCCGAAAGTTAAGATTCCGAATGCTAATATGACAATTCCAAACTTAAAAGATTGGCGTAACACATTCTTCTTACTCCTTATTTAGCCCTCTGTCATACTAAGCTAAGCCTCTCTCTCTCTGTCTCTCTCTCTCTATATCTATCTATCTATCTATCTATCTATCTATCTATCTATCTATCTATATATATATATATATATATATATATATATATAATTAAACATGACGATCCGCGTAGGTGAAACCTTGGAAGGTTTGTCTGGCTCTTTAGGTTTAATTAGGTTTGCCCTACGTAGTGTATTGAGCTCTTTATTTAGTTATTTTGCTTACTCGTATCGGTTTTTTTCTTCTTTGGACTCTGGACTTGGATGCTAGACGATTATTTTTGGTTGACGTACATGTTCATTGTTCTTTCTTTTTTTGTACCTTTTTTCCCCTTTGGTATTGGTTTGATTATTTGCAAATCAAGACACCGAAAGTTTTCCGGACGAGTATGATTTCTTATATTTATAAGATGATTACTAGCATATATATATATATATATATATATATATATATATATATATATATATATACGTAAGCTGTAATATTAATGAGTAGGATTTACTAAAAACGTTAATACGTTCAAATGATTACACATAGAGATACATAGTGAATAATATAACGATATGTAGAAATTCACTGTGGAATATTTTAGTATTAAAGTGCATTGAAAATTATTTATTACCGAAATACATTATATTTTTAGCATTTCATCCCAGGCAAGGCAATGAAGCAACTAAGACGCAAGGGGATACTGAGTGTAAGAGACTGAAAGAAAAAACATTATTAAGGAGAGACAACGATAAAAGAACATGAATTGAGAAGAAAGAAGATAACGATTGACATTGCATTTAAATTTTTAAAGGTCAACGTTTACTGGAAATCAAAAAGCCGGAAGAGAGTTCCACAAGCGAAAAGACTGTTGGCATAGAACTTACGGTTAAATCTAGCAATTTCAACTGTAAAATGATGACATCTGGTACTGCGTTTAAATTCATAAAGTCTAGATAACAACAGAGGAAAGTTCATCAGAATAATAACCATGAAAATATTTACAGAAAAGGTACAGGGAAACTACTGAAGTGACTGAAGCCGAGATGCCAGGTCAGGGCTAATAGCATTGTAGATTCTTCTTTGTATTTTATCAAGAATATCTAAATACATACCAGAAGCACCAGACCATATGTGGCAGCAAATCCAATGTATAGATGAATGGTCGATTTATAAATATATAAAATAAATTGTGGTGATAAAAATTATCTAGCACGACATAGTTAATCAACTTTCCTAGCAACAGATCCAGTAATTGATTCAATATAATCTTTCTGCTTCAAGTCATCAGAAAACGTTAGCGCGAGAAGTCGCAATGTGATACTTTCTTGGGGATTAGCATCAGCCATGCTGATAGAAGACGAAAATGCTTCTCTCGGACGATTAATAGACAGCAGTTTAGATTTAAGTACTGATGCCATCAAGAAGGTCATTGATAAAAATTACGAACAAAGTAAGTCCAAGGATAGGGGCCTGGGGGACAAATGCTTTGGCGCAAAAGATCTAGAAGAATGGCCATTCAGAATAACTTTTACTTCGCGATTTGATAAGAAAGACTGAATGATCATCCAGAAACACCAACTTGTGTAGGAGACCGGTATGCCAAACCAAGTCGAACACTTTCGAGATATCCAAAGCAACAGCTCAAGCTTCATAATTCTTATCTAAAGCTTGATAGACTCTTTTTAGTAATAATCGTTAATGCAACAGCTGTTGGCCTAAAGAAGCGAAAACCAAATTGCTTATCTAAAAGAAGACCCTGCAAGGTGATATGCTTAATCAATTCAAAGTTGATTTAAGAATCTAGTACTTTACCAAAAAGAGGTGGAAGGTTAATAGGCCGATAATTATTAAATATATCAAAACTTTCATTGACTCTATTGATTACATTTATAGTGTGACCACAAATACTAAAAGAAATTCGTTATTGGAATTACCACTTAATTTAATAGGTAAATATGATAGGATCACTTGGCTTAAAGTGTTGGATAAGTGACATACAGGGGTAGGGATTATTTTTTTAAAATTATGCGACGTAGAAGTGAGATAGGTTCGTGTTTTTATGTTCCCGTATAAGGAGCCGGTGTAATATACTCTATAGTATACGGCATTGTAAAATGTGTATGAAGTATTTAAAATGCCTGTGAAATAATTATGATTCGTATAAAATATTTAATATACCCGTTTCCATTGCTGTCAAGCTCTTTGAAACCGTTGTACATATGACGTCATTTATACAATACAAGTATTTAAATTTGAATTATAACTTTCCAAAGATGCCTGGTTTTAACTGAGAAACTCATGTTTATGATACTGACAACAATAGTTCTCGATACTGACCGTATCGATTACAAGTTTGCGAACAAAAACAAACAAAAAAGAACTTTGGACAGTTTATCAATCCAGACTTTTGATACGAATGTGCAGCAATTCATTCAAAAATTGTCTAAATACAATAAACAAAATTAAATAGACCTTGTTCCAATTAATTTTTACTGCCTAAATATATGTATGTATCTATATACATGTTTGTTTGTATTTGTGTGTGTGTGTGTGTGTGTGTGTGTGTGTATTTTAACCTCTCTTGGTTGTTGAGGTTTCTTACTACCGCCAATGGTCGGTGTAAAAGATAAAATTTCGAATTCTGATTCTCAAGGCAGGCATATTTTCCACACTCGGATCAGCACAATACAATATTTCTATTCCGTGATCAGCCATTAATGAAAGATGCCCTTGTTCCAGACTAAGCTAAACTTTTTATCTATCTATCGAGAGCTGGACAAACACTAAAATACATTAAACTCAGCAGATAGTTACTACGTTAAGCTTAGACATATATAGTGATTAGTAATTCAGTCTCGCCTATTGAAGTGATTTCAATTCTCACCGGGTGTTATATAATTATGTTCTTGAACCATAATAACCCAAGATTGGTAAATAGCTGCATGTTTCACCATGGCATAGAAATTAGCTCTCTCGCATCTCATTAATGCTGTAGCGATTTTCATCTTCACCGAATCTTTCACGGTTGCTTGCTTGTGTCACATTAAAGATACATAAATATCAGATAGATATATTTATTTCGCTCAGAGGTCATATAAAGAAGATTGTGTTGCTCCATTCTTTCGAAAATGTAGGAATCTAGAAATGGTAAAAACCCTAATAATTTGATGCAATTATTAAATATGTGAGGAATTTTGTTCTGTTATCTTCTAGAATAAAATCATTCATGTTTATGAATTGTTCTTTTGATGTGTTTCTTGTTCTTGTTTCGATGCTAATCCCCCTTCGGGTCTTTGATAAAATACGAGAGATTTCCGTAAATTGCAACGTACAAGTCGACCTTAAGTTTTTTGCTGAAGAAAAACTAACTTGGGCTTATACCTACCGTACAGGCCGACCTCCAAATACGCATTAGGCTAACAGTGGCCTATAACTTAGGCCTACCGGTAAATTAAATTATGCTATATGTATAGGATAACCTATAACAAAACTACATCAGGTGACACTACTTACCTGTATATTGAGACACTAACCGTAATATCTTTCTATATGCGTTGTATAGCAAACAACCTATAACAGACACTGGTAAGTAACGTATATTGTATCAGTATAACTTAGCAAACATTTCAAATTTTGTTACTATCAGGTTGGTACAAAAATAATGACGTAAGAATGTCGTTTTTTGACGTAGAAAAGTACGTCAAAAAACGACATTATTACGTCATTATTTTTGCACCAACCTAATATTTTATCATTTTATATTAATTTCTGTGTTAATATGCCAAATATGTTCACCAAACACACGCTTTAGTGGGAAATATTTGTGGCGGACTGATAGGAGGTACGCTAAGTTGTGTACAGTAATTGTTAGGTGTGATGTCCTTCTTTTTTACAACTCAGTGGTAAAGCATTGCATTTTATACACGCCATATAAGTCGACCCTTAGTTTTTGGAAAGCTTTTTTAGGCTTGAAAACTCGACTTGTACACCGCACTTTACGGTACTCTGATTGTTCTAAGTTTTGTTAAAACCCAACTGCAGCAAGGCATCCCCGATGACATGAGCAAGAAAGTTCAGGTTCACGCCTTTCTCCAAAAAACGTAACATAAACACCATTTTTGCTCAGCTAGTGTAATTGCAAGTCAGCGGTGCTCTCAAGTCAGAAGATATTATACTTATATGGTATGGGCATACTCGTGGCTTTGTTTTAGTTGACGTGTAAGGTTTTGAAAGTGTTCCAAAACTTGGCCTTTTGCCGAAACTCGCCCTTTATGGCAAATATCTATTCACATTTTTTAGCCAGCACATATGTTTTGATTTGGGAAATATATGTTTATGAATTGGGCGTGGCTTACGATGTTGGAGGTCTGCTCCCCCAATTCAAATATTTTTGGGTATCCATATTGACGAACGTTTATTTTGACAAAATTTTACGTTCTTTTTGCTAAATTTCTCCTGACACCAGCGAAGAGTCCAAGATGGAAGCATGTTTAAATGTATATTTGTTCTCTCATTTTACTCTTTGTCGATATTTATGCGCTCAAACACTGCCCCCATTATCTATCTATCTATCTATCTATCTAGCTAGCTAGCTATCTAGCTATCTAGCTATCTATCTATGATTTTGTGTACTTATAAAGAGGTGGCTGAATACGCACGACTTGTCTACACTTATCAACTGGAAAATGTTCTTTCGGAACCTTTTCCAGATAAACCATTGATGCACAGGCGGTTCCGTGAATAAAGTTAAAGGACAGTTTTGTCCGGCTGCCGGGGAAGGAACTGCAGGAAATGACATATCAATAATATATTTGAAACGTTCAAAATGATCTAAAAGAGGTAGACGACAGATAAACGCTTATATATTAAGTGTTTTATGAATCAAACTCATTTCGTAATTCTATGAAAATAGAGAAACGAAACGGCAAGTTAAATAATATTCGCGTATTCACTCGAATAGCGACACATGCTTTCCAGAACCTAAACGAAGTATTAAAAAACATGAAAATTTTCGTTAGAAACAAAGAAGAGGACTGAACTGTTATGAAATATCAGTCCTTCTATATGGCAGTGAATGTTGGACAGTTTCCTCACAGAGGAAGTGGAGATTTGGGCCAACGGAAATGTGATTATACAAAAGGACACTAAACATCCCATCGGATGAACACGTGAGTAACAAGTAAGTTTTAGGGAAAATGGAAACAAAAAAGACACTTGTACTTAGAATCAGAAATAAGCAATTGAAATTTCTCGGAACCATAATGAGGACTCTCAGATGCCATACCGAAGGCAGTAAGAATAGAGAACAGCAAGTAACCTGCCTAACGAGTTTGTATAAATGGATGGCAGAATAGCGTCAGGAAGTGATAGTAAAAGGACAAAAAATTGCTTCGAGCTCCAACGACTAAGATACTGTGGATAGCCATGACAGTGCATATAAAAGAAGAATAATGAAGGAGTAGAACAATGGTGCAACACTTTTCGATATTTGCCAAAGTGAACTTAGTGTAGTACAAGAATATGTGATAAGAAGATTGTGTTGAACCATTCTTCTTAGTAGGAAGGGCTTGTCTATCTTGAAAATAAACATTCGAAATAGTGGCTTTTAAATAGGTTCGAGCACACAAGGAACGTACGCAAAAGCCACAAGTAAGGAATAACTCAAAATACTGACTCTAACACTAGTGACTATCTCACTTATTAACAAGACTTCTAATGCACTCTTATTAAGTAACAGGACTTCTAATTAACTTTTAAGTAAGTCGTATATCTAAGTTTTTAGTCTCTCGAAAAAATAAAAACCATACAAGAAATTCTCTTTGTAAGTCGATTTTTCAAATTAGCAAGTACAAAGCGGTGGTGAAAAGTTTTCGACCCGTCCAATAAGCCATTAAAAAAAACAGATATTTAATTATATGGTAAGATTTTAGAAAGTGGGTTTAAATAGTTAAATAATAATCAGCTATTACCATTTGATATAGGAGATATTCATAGACTGACATGCATCCCATAGAAGATAAGAATTATCGATCTTTATTAGTAGTTCATTTATAAGCTTGTAATGGCTGTATTTATTTTTACATTCACTCATGCCATGTTATATTTAACAAATACTTCCTCTTAAAAAGTTATAAATATTCACTTCTGAGAGTTTTCTCAGCTTGATTGTACAGTTGTGTTATATTTTGAAGCATCTTATCGAATATTGTTCAATTATTGTATCACTGTCTCTGACGGTATAGCTCAGGCACAAATTACGTTGAGATCGAGGAAAGAATTTTAAAGAATGTTAAGAGTCCGCGGCCAGTTAACTAGATGTGATGTCTCAATAAAGTCATCCTGGAGAAGGCAAAAGGAAACCACTCCACTAAACTTCCTTTTCCCCACAAAAGCTCATGACTTGAGGCAGTATAAAAATAATAAGTTTGGGACTGATCCGTAGTTCGGTAAAGAGATACATGTGCAACACGTCTCGTTTTTTATCAGTGTGAGAAGTTGGAACATGTCAAAATAAAAGTAGAAAAACTAGACAATAATAATTAGATAAAGACATAATGAAATCCCAAAAAAGGAGTTCCAGAAATGCTTCTATCAAATGAAACGACGTTGGACAAGTGAAGTGTCTTCCGAAGGAGACTACTTCAAAAGACATTAAATGTCGAATTGATGTGTGTTGTAGTTTTATTTTTATAGCACCAGTCCCGATACTTATTTATCAGGACGTGTATTCCTGGGAAACTATGTCCTATGCTTTCCAGATAATACTCCAGGTATATTACTAATTTACTTCCTTAGTGGTCAGAACCATGCTAGTAATAATTAAGGATAGATCTTAGGCAAATGCTAGTTAGTGCGGCCTTTCGCGTTCATTTGATCATGATTTAAATATATAGGCCTTGATGTTTCATTTTTAGACGGTTTCTCAAACCGGTGAGTTTTCCAGAATTTTGTTTTGTATTACATCATAATGCTAACTCAAAGAATTTACTGTGATAAACATCCATAAAGTTTGTTCTCTTATGATTTTATCGTAGTGTTTGTTTTCTTAAACATCTCAATGAGAGATGGCCTAATCCTGCGCGTCAAAACAGACATATTCTGAGTAGCAATCTTTTTGTTGTTCGCTGAGATAAAAATAACTAACAATAACGATTTTGCAATCTCAGCATGATACATTACTTCATAGACTATTATTTTAACCCTTCTATAACGCCTACAACTAGGAGTATCGTTATTTTTAGACATTTTTGCACAATTTCTCGAAACTGACAATCCAAAGTTAATGTCAATGAGGTGAGTAATATTTGATAAATATACATCCAATCATTTACGATTGTTCTGTACCTCCATAGACATCTGTTAGAGAACGAATTTTTATGAATGATAAGAATTGAAAAAAGCTGTTTAAAAACTTATGTTTTATAATTTGGTTAGATTTTAGGAAATGAACCGATAACTTTTCAACACTCCTCGGAATTTAGTTCCACTGCGCATGCGCCCATTTAACCCTACATTAGTTTTATTCTTTCTCAATTGCTTTCCTTTTCATAGAAAGTTTTTTAAGCTTTTTTTTTCATTGACTTTTTTATTTTAATTTTCTTTTTAATTCCTTTTTTTTTCATCCTTCTTCGATCCTTACTCTTTATATTCTTCCTTTATTTCTTTCTTTCTTTGTCTATATTATTTTGTCGTTTTTATTACTTTTTAAATTGCTTTTTCTTTCACTCTACTTCTTTACTGATTTTTTTATATTTTATTTACCTTTTCTTTTTTAATTTCTTCTTCGGTCCTTACTCTTTTTTTTAATTTATTTATATCTTCGTCCCTATTTTCTTTCATCTTTTTTTTTATTCAGATTACTTTTCTTTTCACTCACTTTTCCTTTTATTCTCCTTCTTTACACTTTTTCTCACATTTTTTACATTTCTTTTTCGGTCCTTACTCTTTATTCTTTCTAAATTGATTTTATTTCTACATATTCTTTCTTTCTTTCTTTCTTTCTTTCTTTCTTTCTTTCTTTCTTTCTTTCTTTCAATGTTTTTGTTCTCTAGTCTGTTTCTTATTATATTTCTTTTTTCAGTTTTTCCCATTTCTTTACTTCTATTTCTGTGTCTTTTTTTGTCTCTACTCGCTTTTATTTTCATTTCATCTTTTCTTTTCTATCATCATGATATTTTTCTTTTTCTTTCTTCTTCTCCTCCTTGCCATTATTATTATTATTATTATTATTATTATTATTATTATTCAACAACTACAACAACAGCAGCAGCACCAACCATGTTTTGCTTCAATTTGTGTGACACTTTCCAACAACAAACTTCCCCACCTATGGCCAAACCATTACCCCAATTTTGGTGGCATCTGTTGAGACTTCTCCACGGGCATTTCACCATTGAACATGCATTCCGTGATTCCAGACCACAACCTCAACCCACACATCGAATCACTAATCTATCTCGGACTACTCCCTCGATGTTATGCAATAACATAAATATTACAAGTATTTCAATTTTTATCAGCGTGAAAACTATGGAATAACCTTTTCCAAATTCTTTGTTACAGTTCCCGCCCAACTAACAATAAGCATCGTGTCTTCATTTGCTTAGAGGAGACGCTTGGGTTTATTTGACAACTTGGCACCATCTATGAGTTGACGCCACATATTTAGAAAAAAGTGATGACGCCCTGTTTATTATTATTAGTTGACAACGGCCCGGGTTCATTTTAACGCTGTCTTTTTTCAGATTGTCCAGTATATTGATTTCACGAGGAGCTAATTTAAAATGAGTGCTTTCGAACGACGTTTTAACTGCTTTTCTATTAATGAAATACAAAAGCATTGAAAATTGGTCTTCAGTATTTAATAAAACTTACGTGGATATATAGATATTAATAGAAAAAGATAGACACAGAGTGAGAGAGAGTTATATATAGGGTAATATATATATATATATATATATATATATATATATATATATATATATATATATATATATATATATATATATATATATATATATATAAATAAATGGAGAGAGAGAGATGCTCTTACAAATATATGCCGGCCCAAAAGGAATACTTATTTTAATAATTGTGTTATTAGGAACAGGGTTAAAAGATCTGAAACAGTGGAACATAAATTTGCGCTTTATTGAAAATCTTGAAAAATGTTAAGTAATGCTCATCGATTGATTGTAAGATGATCAAATTTATGTATTTATATATATATATATATATATATATATATAAGCTGTTTGATTATGCGTATCAACTGGAGAGTGTTAATCTGACAACTTCTAATATTGATACTTATGTGCACATAATATATTTATATTTACATACAAGATGTCTTAGTATTGAATACCTTGAATATACTCAATATATATATATATATATATATATATATATATATATATATATATATATATATATATATATATATCTGCAATCTTAACGTTTTAAACTTTTTCTTTCTCCCCTCCTCTCTCTATATATATATATATATATATATATATATATATATATATATATATATATGAATAAAGACAAAAGGAAAACACCTTTGTCGACACGTTTCTTCCTCTGATGGGCTTTATCAAGACAAATGCCTTGATAAGGTCAGTCAGTATTCGTTTTTCCTTATTCATATTGTCATTTTACAGAGATATTTTAGCTATATCTGATTCTTTACACACACACACACACACACACACACACACACACACACACACACACACATATACACATATATATATATATATATATATATATATATATATATATATATATATATATATATATATATATATATATATATATATATATATATATATACCGGATATAACAGCAAAATTGTCCAAATCGTGTAACACCATAATTGTCCATCCCACAAACTGTTTAATATCTATAAAAATCACTAAACTGATTGAGTTTGTTTTTTCCAGGTGTTCAGATAAAACGTTTAGCCATCTTGACACCACTTGCCGTAAGAATCACTGAAAATCCTTTGAGTTATTCAGTTAGAAAAGAACAGGTTAAAATCGTCTTGTGACAGTCTCATTATGTCTTCCCAACTGAGCAATGGTGAGAAGAAAATGATCATTCAGGCCTTCAGTAATAGTACCAACATTAATACATTGAGTTCCACCTTCAAAGTTTATTAAAAAACAATCAAGATAACGGTGAATAAGTTTAAGACAGAAGGAACAGTAGAGGGGAAAACTGGATTAGGAGGTCACAACAGCAAGAGGGATCATCATTTTAGCTTAGAGTTAAAGAGATCAATTAGAAAAAATCAAACTCAATCTATAAGACGTTTGGCACGCGAGAGAGGATTTCAGCTATGACAGTCCAAAGATCAGTGAAAAAAGACTTGAAAACGAAATGGTATGTGAAATATGTGATGCAACTTGTTACTCCAGGACAGAAAATTAGAAGGTTAGCGAGGGTGAAGTTCACCTTGAATAAGTTGAGAAACGATCCTGAAATAATACATATATATATATATATATATATATATATATATATATATATATATATATATATATATATATATATATATTAAAACTTTATTCCAATACTTCATGAGCTTCTGATCCTTACCTATGATTAATTAATGATGAACATGGCATTTTCGTTGATGATCGATTTCATAACGATTGTTCTATTAAGCTTGGTGAGTAATTATACATTTTATTGCTCAAAGTAGCGTCCAATAGTGTTATAAAATACTCAGAGAATTCCACTAAGATATCTTAAAACAAACAGACAATTTTGTTTTTTACACGATTTGGACAATTTCGCTGTTACACACGGTGTACATACAGACATACATATATATATATATATATATATATATATATATATATATATATATATATATATATATATATATATATATAATGCTTAATGTTGCTGTGTGACAAAAAAGTCCTTTGAAAGGATTTTCAAAATAACAGGTATAAAACCAAAAAAGCAAAAGTGGTAGGAAGCTGAATGATGTCGGTGATTTTGTGCCCCTAGAAACATTGAACGCCAAAAATTTAAAATTTAAATTAAAATTTAAGCGTACCTGCATTTTCAGCGTTTCTCTCGATGTATAATTATAACCTATGTTCGTTATTTCGTTTCTTGCTCTACATATATATGATTTCATCAATGATCACATTATTTAGTGTGAAGAAATTCTTTTGAAGGACGAAACGTCTACCATAGAGTCTTCTTTTTCAGACACACGCACAAACACACACATATATATATATATATATATATATATATATATATATATGTGTGTGTGTGTGTGTGTGTGTGTGTGTTCGTGTGTGTGTGAATGCGATGTATGTTTGTATGTATTCTTCTTCAATGTGCCGTGTCCTTTCAGGATACGGCGATTCCTGGCTCTCCCCAACTACCTAATCCTACAGCAGCAGCTAATATACCATCACCATTAGAGATGATGAGAACTGATATTACACTTTGATGCCAGTCCGATGGTTATAAAATGAAGGAAAGCCTAACTAGAATAGCTCTGGCTGCTCGATCAATAGATGTCGTATGTTTTCTTATAAGGAAACGGCCAATATTACCACTTCAATTAGAGATGAGGTGAACTGATATTACACTTTGATGCCACTCTGATGGCCAGAGTATGAAGCAAAGTTTAAGTTGAGTAGCACTGGCTGCTCGGCTACTAAATGTGGAAAGCTTCCTTATAAGGAAACGGCTAATATTGCCATTACCAAACTGAGCGATGTGTTCGTTCAGTTGATATACTAGAAAAAAAGACAGAGAGAAATTGATGTGAAAGAGGAGCAATAAAGAGGAGGCAAATCAGTGAAGAAGGAGAAAGAAAACAATATAAATTGAAGCATAAAAAGAAAGAAAAAAATGAAATTGTCACATTGATTTATAAATACGGGCCAAACCCTAAAGCCTAACTATTGTGACGTAAGGAACCACAATGGTGATTGTCGAAATCACTTAGCAAGACTAACCTGTGAACCATTGCTATCTGACAGGTGTCTCATTAGATCGAGAGGTGTAGAGTAACGACTGACACTTGTTGCTTCATTCCATCAAGCACTCCTAGGCACCTCATAATACCTACAAATACTCAATCATTATATCCAAAATTCGATCTGAATGAAACCGTAAAATATCTTCTAAAGTAAAAATAAAGAAAGAGAAATTCGGTCGAGGAAGAAGAAATAAACCATTAAAATTATTTTCTCAAATGGCATGATCGCAGTTTTGCACAAATAAGTCTAGGAAAAAATTATGTCAGTTTTTCGTTGAAGTGAGGTGACCCTTTACCAGGGAGCCAGAGAATGCGTAGGAGCAAAAGACACTCGGAGAGAAACCGTTTCTGTTTATTATTTATATTGCTGCTGTCGTTATAGTCCTCTTTCTCTCACTCTCTCTCTCACTCTCTCTCTCCTTTTGTTGTGACTATCCGAAATGTTGCTGTTCATTTTCTCCACCTTCAACCCATTTCTTATGTTTTTCTTTCTTCTTTCACTCTGGTTCTACTCCTACTCTTAAATGATTTCCACTTCTCATCCTACATTTACTTTCTTCTTCTTTTCCTTACATTTAGTCTTCTCCTTCCTCTTACCTTATTTCATCTCCTCATATTTTCTTCTCTCTCCTATCACTTACCCTTTCTTCTTCTTCTTCTTCTTCTTCTTCTTCTTCTTCATCTTCTTCTTCTTCTTTACTTCCTGCACTGTTCTTCATTCTTCTTCTATGTACCGTGCACATTCGGGACGTGGGCGATCATGGTTCCCCACAACTTCCAGTTCTTAAGTTTTATCTTTTTGCTACCTCTTCTAATCCGTTCTACCAACAATTAACTCAAGTTTATTAGGTAGGTTATGCGCTGCTTTCCTCTGTCCCTTTTTCCCTCAATGAGTCATGTGAGTGTTAAATTCTCCAGGCCCTCTTTCCCCATTATTTGTCCAAAAAATTCCAACTATCTTTCATTCGAAGTATAAGTGTCTATTTTATTTCCATTCTCTCTGAAACTTTGTCGTTGCTTACATGTTCTTTCCATAGTATTCTTAATATCATCTATAGCACCACATTTCTATTGCTTCAAGTCTTTTCTTCATCTGTCATGAGATTGTCCAGCATTCTCTGGCCATATAGAAGAATCGATATTACATAACAGCTCAATACTCTTTTCTTTGTTTCTAACGAAAATTTCCTGTTTTTTAATACTTTGCTTAGCTTTCGGAAGATATATTTTTGGTATTCCAAAGCGTCTTCGGAATCTATTGTCACATTATTCATCCGCTGTTAAAAACACTGCCTAGATATTTAAATTTTTGTACTTGCAAGGTTCTGGTGTCTCTGATTTGTACTTCCTTCACATTTACTCCGCGTCGCGTCTCTCCTGAAGAATGGGACATGGCTAAGAAAGTGGAAGAGATTCTACATGCTGATTGGCCGATGGTGAGAGGCTCTGATTTCAGAAAGGAAAAATAATTCTCTTATTTTTGCCAGATGCTATGCTAGTATATAAAATGATATATAATATA